CCCCCCCCCCCCCGGGGCCAGCCGATCGGCTATAAAGGGGCAGTTGGAAGTGGTAAGGTCCAAAGACTGGAGCAGGAGTGGGCAACATGGCAGGTCTGGCCAGTGGCTGAACTCCATTTCCTAGCAGCCCCTGCCCCTCCCCCACCCCTTGCTGCAGCCGGTTTCCATGGAGACCCCAGCAGGGGCCCTGCAGTGACAGTACGGGTCAGGGTTTCCATGGAGACCAGCCCCAGCAGCACCAGCGGGGCACCTGGCTGGGCAGGGAGCTGCTCCATGGTCGGGGCAGGGATTGTGTGGCGGTGACTGGTTTGGACCTGGGGCAGAGCTGTGATCTGCCCTGGGCAAGGGGGTGCAGGCAGCGGATCGCGGCTCTGCTCTGGCTCCAGACCACTCTGTCACACGGCAAGATCCCAGGCCCAGCCATGGAGCAGTTCCCTGCCCAGCTGCCCACCCTACCAGTGCAGCTGGGGCTGGTCTGGGGTCTCCCTGGAAACTGGCTGCAGCATAGCAAAGGAGCTGCTGCGTAATGGAGTCCACTACAGGCCTGCTCCAGCCCACAGGCCAGACTTTGCCCACTCCTGGACTAGAGTGACCCATTCACAGGGCCTCAGCTACACACGCAGTGACAGCAGCATAAAGCAAAGAGAACTTCTTGTGGGTGCCAGGGAGGCTGAAAGGCTGCCATTGGAGTGCTCACACAGCCAAGAAAGGGCAGCCCCCAACAAGGGCACAGGGTGAAACCGGTCCTGGTGACAGGTGTGGGTGAGCAGCTGCTTCAGGTCTTTCCCTCCACTCCCCCACTTTGCTAGCTACCCGCCCCCTCACATGCACCATGGGTGATACTCCAGCCTCCCACCACTGCATGCAGGGAGAAACTTGTTAGGCACAAAAGCACAGGAGTAGCCAAAGGAAGGTAGGAGCTCCTCCCAGTAATCATTCACATCACTAAATGCAATAGCATCCACCCTGCCCCTTGATACAATCCAGTTTTTATGTCCATGTTTTGGGGTGCACTACCCATTCTGGTTCCTCTGGATCTATTGCATATAGCAAACAGGCTTTTCCAGCCCAGTTCCCAACAGGTTTAGGGGCTGGGGTGGATCCAGGATTTAGCAAAGGGGGGTGCAGGAGCAGCCACCCACACTACTCGAATCTAAACACCCCTCCCCTAGTCACTGGTGTGGAGAGACTGCACAACAAGAGTCTCTGGGGATTTTAGCAGGCAAGAATCCCCCCTTCCCTTCCATGCTCAAAGGCATGTCTCCTCCCCTCCCCGGCCTGTAGCTAGCTGCTGCTTTCCCCACTGTCTGGGGAGAGCTGAGGCTCGTTGTGGCTCCTGTGGCTGTTCCTAGCTGACCCCAGCCTCTCGGCAGCCTGAAAAAAGCAGCAGCAGCAGGTGGTGGAAGGGGGCAAGGGAAAGAAGGGGAGGGTGGGGATGTGCCTT